GACACCAGGGAGTCATCGAGCACAGAGAGAAGCTGTTATGTTCATACTATGAGCAACAAATGAACAGGCTACAAGTGATTATAAATGGAGGCGATTAAATGAAGCTACAACCTGACACCAGACTTGGCTGCTTTGTGACGGGTGCTAATCACCCTACTAATCAAAGTCTAGCAGGCCACAACTTTCGCTTTTGTGTTTTGTATAATGAAATTAGCATGACAGCATGTACTTCCTGAAAACCCACTCAAGTGATGCTTTTATTATGTGTATGAAATAAAGGAATGTAGAAATAACAGGTTAAATATTGAGCTCAGGATGCTTTCATAGGAGGATTTGAGCCCGGCATGCTGCCTTTAAATGTGTTATGCTAAGCTAGGCTAATGAACAGCAGAGCTTTAAACCAATATTAGTGTGGTATTGTTCGTCCCATTATATCATTCCCCAACATTGGCTAATTTGATTGACCTTAACAGGTGCTGGTAGGTATCCTAACCTTTGGACAGAAACAGGCTAGTTGATTTTCCCTTTAGCCTTTATGCAAAGCTAACTCGATGCTGGTTGTACCTTTGTATGTAACGGGTAGATATGGGAGTAGTTTTGCTTTTCTTATTCAAATCTCTGCAATTAAGTGGAAAATCCCATTCTCAAAATAACAAACTATTCCTTTAATTTGTTACAAGCCAACGGTTCCAGCCTCTGTAAATATCCCTGGATTCTTCACTTTTGAAGGCAATACAAGGCAATATGCTGCTTTAATATTTCCTCAAAGCTCTTCCCAAAGGAGGGCATTCCTTTGATCTGGTGGTATCCGACATTCTGCTAAGATTTAAGTGCCCCTCCTCAGACAGTCTCTCAGGCATCTCAACAGCTGATTCATAATATGCTCTGTTTCTGAGTTTTATCGGCTGCCGCCCCGCGGGACGCTAGGATCGCACAGGTTGGTTGCCATGGATGTAAGACAAACCTGCACAGGGCAAAAAAAGATCCCCCCTGAAGCCCCTCTCAGCAGGCTGCATATTTGTGCATTGTGTGGACAACATGCAGGAAACCCACAACCGGTGAAAGAAAACATGCAGTCCTAAGAGGCTTACTGACAGACCAGCAGAAAGAGAGGAGAAAAAAAGAGATGTGCTGGGAGGCTCAAAGGACTTCTGCTGAAAAGTATACCATCAACTTTATCTTTATTCTTTCTAGTTTTAACCAGCCCAGTTGCCAAGCTATCTTTTCGTTGTGAAGAGATTTGAGAGGCAGCAGTCAGGTTCATTTAAGGACAAGATATTCTAATCTTGAGGCACATTCCTATAAAAGGAAATGGAAACACGTATTGAGCCATTAATGTAGGATGAGCTGTGCTTTGAAGCTCTCATAATCAACATCCCTCATTGTGTGTAAGTATTAAGCACTTTTTCTACATATGCTCTTGAAGATGTGTTATTACTGCAGCCCATTCAAGGGCAAAAAAAGTCCCAGAGGAAGAAAAACATTTTAAATAGCATTTTATTGGTTAGAGCTATTTTCCCTGTCTCCTAAGTCTTTCAGACTGTTATTCATCTACATTCCTCTAATTGTGTCTTGCCCCCTCTCCTTTTAGCTGCATATATATAAAAAATGCCTAATTGAAGGCTTTGCACATAACAAATGACCACATTAGTCTGCACCCCTTTAACTCGCCCTTCTTCCTGTCTGTGGTTGTAATGCATTATACACTCTGCTTGTTCTCTGTTGTCTCTCAGATTACAGCGCAGGCTGCCAATCATTTGGAAGCTAAAACTAAGGGACTTGTTTTTCTCCTACCTCCTAGAGAGAAGTATTTCTTCCAGTACTCAAGAAAAGTGTCTACGGTGAAGCAGTAATAATGCTGAGGGCAGCCAGTCAACATAACATCTTATTTCGATTTCAAAACCATCCGTAAAGTTGTTGGCTTGTTTCCACTTCCATTATAATCTGAAAACACCCAGAACAAAACTAACAGTCACACAAGATGAATAACAAACAATTCAGTCATATTAATTCAGCATCATTGAACACTCCCTGGATAGGAAAGAAGGATTAAATGCTTGACTTGTGTTTCTTTTATGTCTGCACATGAACAGCAAAGCTGTTTTTTTTCTCCCACTCTGTTAAGATCTAACAACCTGCCAGACATTTCTTTCCCTCCGTGCTTCCCATACATATGGTGCCACAGAGAGTTTTTTCCATGTGACAAAGACCCTTAAAACCTTCACAACCAAATAGAACAATGCCACGTGGGTGGCTCTGTGTGCGTACGTGAGTGTGTGAGTGTGTGCGTGCTAAGATATTATAGACTACGAGTCAAAAAATCAGCAGCAACATTTTAACAAGCATCAGCTTCTATCAGCATAGATTTACTTCAGTAGCGAGACAAACAATATTGAACCGGCAGAGAGGAAGAGTTTGTGGTTTACATTTCTTTCATGCGCAACTTGATTTAGGTTATGAAATATATATATGTGGTTTATATGTGATCCAGAAGATATGTTTGGACACACGTTTTCCCTTATCTAAAGTTGGTGGTGGTAACATGACAACAAGCAAAGTAAAAATGCCAGCAATAGGGAAAGATTGCTGGCAAGCAATCATACATGCAAACATTGCAGGATTTCAAATGTTTAACATGATTAAATATATTATTTATTGTCAACGCCAAAAGCTAACTTTGTGAGATCACAATGACTTTGAACCACAAATTCCAATCAGTTCTTCTGAGTCGAAGTGGAAGTTTATTCCTCCAGAAATCGGGGGTTCACGATAATGAGAGGGACGGAAAATCAAGAACAATATGCCTCTGGAGACATACATATAGCTTTGTAAAGGTCGTGAAGAAAGTAAAAGCAAGGTGTTTAAATGAGAATTCAAAAGCAAACGTGAATTTATCTACAAGAAACTTCACAGGGAGTATTTTAAAAATCAAATCAATCAGTCAATCAACAAACCTTTTTAAACAACAAGTCAATTACAAGCCAAAATATGGTATTATCTATGGGGGCTGGACTGCTGGTTGGACTATACAAACAATCTGAACATGCAAACTGTGTCATTAAAAAAAAGAATATAAATAATATATATATCAAGAAAATAACCAGTCACAAATGACTTAGAACCCACAACTTATTTTAAATAAATCAGAAGAACAACTTGGGAACACAACATAACGACTTAATACATTTAACATTCAGGGTAGTTACACTGCCGTTGCCTGTGATCCAATATGAAACCTAAATTGCTGAGCGTCTGTTGCCACTTGTGTTACGCAGCCTGCATGTTGGAAGCAGCCGCCACTGTTTGTTGACTGGTGATGAGAGCCGCTGTTGACAGGGAACTCTGTTTGCTTTGGCAAGAGAGCACACTGCCTGCCATTCCTCCGTTGAAACCATGTGAGTGCTGCTCATTTTAGGAGTATTTCAAACAGCTACCAGCTTCTGTAGTCTTTTTTGACTTACCCTGCGCTCACAAAGCTGCCAGTTCTTGGACTGGCTTTAAGTAACAAGAACTTTAAACATGTATTGTTTGAGTAGCCAAAGACTGATTAAGCTTACTCTTATCTGCTTTGGTCCTCCAATATTGTCCAAAAATCATATAAAAAAACAATCAGAATAGTCGACATTGTTGTACTGAACAACATGTAAATTATTTGGAGCAAGTCCCAAATACACTTAGCTGTAATACTGTACCAAACATGTATTCATCTGAAGTTCAAAAGTTCTCCTAAAAACCAAATGTTGGGACATTTCTATATGTTAGCGACCTCTTTGAAGATGTACATATTCAGTTGAGGGGGAAGTGCCAAAGGAAGTGAAATCTTTAGTTTTGTCATTGGATTTGAACTTTTCTTTTTAGAGGTTGTTTTTTTTTTTTTTAAACACTTCACCTAAATAAGACTGTTTGCCATTTTGTAATAAGTTAACAGTATTTAAAAAAATCTGCCAATGCCTTATGAAAACCATCATAAACGCAGGGTATTTTTAATTCACCTTCAGAGCCCCAGTAGAGACATCAAACATCTGACAACACAAACAGGGCATTGCCCCTTCCAACCTCAACTAAAACACTGTGATCATGCCGGGACTCTCCCATAAACCATTTGAGTTTAGGAGGAGGATAACAGCACGTCTTTAAACTGAGAGACATCGTTAAAGAGAATTGGCTTAATGATATGTCTGAGACTGTACACTCAAGTCATAAGCTCTGCATTTGTTGCCCACTCATTTCAGCCGTCATATGACAGCCATCAAGTAGAGTGGGAGAAACATCCCACGCTGGGCAGGAGAGAGACAGAGGCAAGTTGTTGCCTGTAAGTTAACTGTCAAACATTGCTGAATGAAAAGGATGGAGAGGAATGCAAAACAATAAGAGAAAGAGGTTGAAAACCGATGTGGGGATGGGTTGCAGCCAGTTTATGGTGTTTCTATGCTGAGATAACTGTGTTCCTCTGCCCTAAATATGTTGCTTTTATGGAGGTATCAGTATAGGAGGGCACCTTGCACAGGATATGCAGCTATTAGTAAAAGCCCCAGTACATATCCCTGACAGACTTTCACCCTTAGAGACGGCATCCTGAGTCCATCTTATCTCAGGATCATAGTGTAGTGGTGGTAGATCTGGAAGGAGGACAGACCCTCTCTGTTTGCTCTGAAGTGGAGCCTAGCTGCACGCACACTGACTCATCCACTGTTTTCACAACACCCACACAAACCACAACTCCTAAAATGTGTACTCCAACTCGGAAACACACACAAACAACTACACACATACAATTATCCACGTAAACATTTGCTCTCTCATCTCAGCACGCGTTTATGAAGTTTAACATTTGTTACAGTGACACACACACACACACACACACACACACACACACACACACACACACACACACACACACACACACACACACACACACACACACACACACACACACACACACACACACACACACACACACACACACACACACACACACACACACACAAGTTAACTCTTACCTTGAAAAGCTGCCACATTGCGCGATATGAGGAACTTGAGGCTGGAGCTGGACGTCTGCAGGAGGTTTTGGATGTCTCTCCGGGCTGCCACCTGGTACTTCTCCTCCATCTTTTTGGTGCAGCAGGTCAGGTTCTTGGATATGCACACCTGAAGGTCTGAACCTAAGAGTAGTTAAGATTGAATGTTAGGATCTTAAAATAAAAAGGGGAAGGAATAACTCATTTCTCATGGTGCCACTGTATTTCGAAAATTCACTTAGCCAGAAATTACATTTGTCTTCAACAAAAGAGAAATGTGTAAGAGATAGTTCAGACTTTTGGAATTGGGTTCATTTACCGGCCCTGGTCAGACCTGTCATTAGTCAAAGTCAGTGTATTTGACACCCAAGGGGGAAAGAGCAAAAACATCATCAACCACCTAAAAAGAGGCTTGGTTATTAAAAGAAAATCAATATCAATTTAAGCTTAAGCTGGCATCCATTACTATTCTCTTTTGATGTTTTAAATGATTAGCTCAGATGTCACACAACACAAACATATTGATGCAGCGTTAGAGCAACCCCTGTGTAATGTTGTATACATTTTCAGTTTAATTTTTTTTCCCCCAATGGAGTCTCTAAAGAGAACATAGATAACAACTTTAGTTACATGTCAAAACCTGATTGCGGAGGACAGTTTCAAAATATAAGATTCAAATTGACTGATTAAAATTGTTTTCGCTGCTGGCTGCCCACGTCCACAACAGTACACTTCTTTACCTCAATACCGTAACACCGGCCTGCTTACCAAACTCGGTGCGTGCGATAGGTACTTAAAACATCTCGACTCCCAGATAACTAATATTTCTATTGCAGCAAAATATTCATAGAAAATACTAAATGATATAAAGTAACATCAATATAGCTTAATATAACTTATAATAAATATGGGTCATCTTGCTAAATTAAGGCAAAGACATCATTTACAGCTGCCAACTGAAGAAATACTAGGCGAATATTTGTTTATTGTGCAGCAAACAAAGGTCTTTTGTATTTTGGAACTACCTTATGAATAGCTACACCATGTTCCCCAACCTTGTGGGTTTTCACCTTGTATTTATTTAGTAACAAATTGCTTACATATGTTACATGAATGTAAAACAAATATATGAGAGGCATGAAGTTGTGGCTGGGGATCTAGAGGCTCTCCTTAGGGTGCTCCACTTACTTTCCATTCCACAGACATGCAAGTCAGGTGGATTTGACACTTTAAACTGCCGAAGGGCAAGTATGAATAGGTGAGTGTGTCTAAAAATCTTTTTTAATACGAGTATGATAAATTGGCAACCGTCCAAAGTGACAAGCAACTTTCTTTAGCAGCACTCATATGTACAAGAATCTGTCAAATGGAAATATTTCACTCAGAAAGAGAGGGGTCAACCAATGATGGGAAAATAAAAGTAAAGGGGTCATCGAGGTTACATTTATTGACAATCCATGTTTATATAGAGAGATACACACAAGTAGAAAAATACAAGGTAAATAAATAGTACGGGATATTCTAAAGAGATATAATATATATGGACCTAATCATGTCTGTTTGAAAAGCTGCAGTTGATTCTGGTCATTCAAAATCCTTCTTCCACCATTATAGTAGTACAGAAAATGCTTTACTGGAGCAGAAAACCAAAACACAAAGAACCTGAGCAGAGATGTGAGTCAAAGTTATCGGCTCACCAGTTTGTGGCAGTGATAAGCTAAGCTATGAACAAATAAGCAATCATTCATAGGGGACAGTCAAAACATCTTAAAAGAGTCCCAAAACGGTGCAAAAGCCTCTCGGACAAGCCTAGGCAGAGTGTGCAGAGAGTGCAGAGCTGTTGCCAGAGACGCTATCAGTTGAAGAAGAGTGAGGAGGGTGCAGGGCAGGCGATGGCACACGTGGAGGAATTTAAACTCTCCCAGATAAGACAACTTGAAAGAGCCCCAGGTCTTGCTTTTTTTTCTTTTTCACCTAAATGCTTCCCAGAACTATTTTCACAGAAAGCAGCTTTAGTTGGCTGAGGGGGAAGACTTATGGCTTGCCATATTCTGACCCAAACTGAAGGCGGTTTGGCACGTCTTATTCCAAAACATAGAAACAGCTCGCTCTCAATCTCCTGGAATTTGGGGCAATTGATCACAAGTCAACCCTAAAGAATAGATAAATTATACGATATACAGGATTTATTATGCTATTGCCCATTACACTCTCTGATGTGTTTCAGTGCATTAATATGAATTCATCAAGGAAACCATTTACATATCTCTAATGTCAAGATGCATTCAGTTTAAGAGGAAATGTGCAAGGTTGCAAGAAGGGTCAGCAGCACCGCAGATATAAACAGTAGCAAGTGTTTTTACAACGTTACTGAATCAGGAGCTTATCATCGCCTCTACAGGAGGCACCCACTGCACACATCATTCATATCTGAGAAAGTACTTTTCAGTTGAGAAGTAGCACTGAGATTCAGATTCACACAGGCTCACTTAAAGGGCATGAGTGGTGATGGCATTATAAGGGTTAGTTAGAGGTTTAGGAAGTATTTGAGGGTTTTCTGCCAATGTAATCAGTTTCCACACAGCAGCAGAGGAAAGTGAAGTTTGTAGGGAGCAGTTTGTGGCAGGATGCTATCAACACTGTTAAGATTTATTTTTCCAAGAGAAAGCAGCAGCAAGCCGTTTGGTCAATGACAGCCCACTTGAAATATCTGCACCCATCATCCCACCTAATTGATGTGCAGCAGTATAATGTGGAATTGCATTATGGGTAGTGTTCAGAAAGTTAAATGAGGACTTGTTTACCTAACTTTAGACTAAATAATTCATGTTTATCCCTGCAAGCCACTTATCTGCTTTTGACAGCCGTCAAAACCAACACATAATCTCTGGAGTTTAAACTCCTAGATTCCTTCGAAAAACGTTAGCACATATAAAACAGCCAAGACAACCATAGGAGATACATTTTAAAAGGTTGTTTTGTTGTGCAAACACAAGCAAAGTATAATCTCCAAGCCTATTTCTCTAGCCCATGCAACCCTATTGAAATATTTCAACATGCATTAACGTGAAACACTCCTGGAAACAAATGTAAGTTATGGGTCCAAACATTATATCCAAAATAAACATAATTGCATTACACGGCATTTCCTCCATATTTCTCGATTAAAACGTCCCATCACACAAAGGTGCACTCTAAACAGTTTAGAGCTCTCCAGGCTCTGTCTATGTTATTATCATGACTGCACACACGCCTCTAAATATGTTTAAAAAGGCGCATTTTGTAACTACAAAGAGTACTTCAATAGCCAGAAAATGACAGGTTAAAATTCCACAGTGCAGTTAGTGACCTCAACAGGGAGGTAATGTAGTCTTGAATGACTTCTCTGGCATATTTCTTTCATTCAGGGTTTAGCTTGATGATGCTTTCGTTGCTAAATAGATGTTAATGATTCAATTATCGAAAGAAATGTGACATAAATTGTATTATAGCATAAGTTAGCTTCTCATGTGTATCTCAAACATACCTGGTCTGGGGCTCAAAGGCAATAATTGATTTGGTCCAATTTGTTTGAGTTGGAAAACTTTCCGCACTTCATCGCATATGTTGGGGCTGCCGAACCCTAATCCAGAGCAACACGCCAGCAAGAAAACGCAGTTCGTCCACAGCAGCACACCCATTTTAACCAAATCCAGGGTTATACGCCACAAAAAGACGCTTGTTTGGAAGTTAAGGTTTCTTCTGAACCTTTGGGCAGCTCAGGTGAGTCCCGACCACATCTCAGGTTTCAGGACTCAGCGTCGTCGACCATATGGCGTTTGTGTGGAGGAAACGTCATAATTTCAGTGCAGGCTGACGGAGTGAAAGTTGCAGCAATGTGAGGAGTCTGTTACAGAGCGGCATGTTGTCCAAGTTAGCTGGACCCGGAGCAGAGGCGGTACCGCTGCGTTACCTGCACCCCTTGGCCGGTGAGCAGCTGCCGGCGACCGGACAGCGCCATCTAGTGTCCGCCCCCTTTGAGTTAAGACCTGATTTAATTATGACAATTAAACAATATCAACGCTTACAGAAAAGTTTGTATAAATATTGATGAGGCGTCACTGTTAAGGGTTTTCTTAAATCATGGATTGATTCATAAAACTATGGGTAAGCCTATGTTTTGCCCTTAATCCCAAATTCAAGTAAATGTAATTACACTGTGGGGCCTACTCGTAATTTTAAATAGTTCTCAATTTGAAAACAATTGATTTGACTAACGTTTGCTTATTGTCAGCAACATCTTAGTTTGAAATTTAGATTTGAATTCAAATCAAAGATTGAAAGGGTTGTTTTGCATTGCTGATTATACATATGCCTTTCTTCTCAGTAATTCAAAATTAAATTGTGAAGTTATTTTCCATGTTTTCAGTTGGCCTTGAACTCATGTGGGCTTGATTGTGATTTGCAAACTGAAAAAAAGTTTAGCTAAAACTAGAGGTAATATTCAGCTTTCTTATTCAAAATGAATGGGCAACTACAAGACCCCCATCAGTTTAGCCATTACTGCCCTTCACTGTGGCCTCCTGTAATAAGCTGCTGTTATTCAGTGCTGTGCTCTTAAATGTGTTTTGTGTGCATTGAAGACTGCACCTCATTTTTTTTTAAAAAGCTGTTAACCCAATGGGTGATGTGCTATATGTAATCAGGTGTATGGTGGTCAAACAATTACACTTATTAGAATATTAGTGGATGCCCATCAGTTAAAGAAAGTGTAAAGAGAATCAATAGTTACTGGCCATAGAATTAGTTAATTTAAAATAAATAATGTTACTTTTTTTATTGTCTTGCTTCAACTGTGTCTAATAAAGGCAGCACAATATAACCATTAAAAAAAGCTTCCAAATAATCCTATACAAATTCAATTGAGGTGCTTTTCAGTTTACAAAATGACTAAACAGTGTTAAATTCCTTTAACTCATTGTGAGATTTGCATAATAAAGCATTCAGAGAAAAAGAAAAGTGTAAACAATTTAATATAAATTTCAAATGACATTACAATTAACCAATTTAAAAAAACATATCCCCATCAACTATCACATGCATTGCATACATAATAAGCAGTCATAAAGTTGAGTGCATTCCTTTTTCTAGTATACTGAGGTCAGGATCCAGGTCAGCTCCATCTCCTCGTTCCTATACAGGCCGGGACAAGTGCAATACCTCCAGGTACTCAGCATTGCTACAAATCCCCACCTGCACAGGAAGGGACATCTCCAAGTATTTTAGACACCATATACCCACCACGAGGAAATAAAATCCATGTTTAAGAGCAATACCACCTAGCAGAACAGTTCATCAACCTAGTCAGTTTTGCATGGATTTGCACAGCGAACATCAGAAAAAGCTGGATGCAAACCAGCAAAACTGACCAAGTGATGATTAACAGATCATCCATGATCATAGACATCCGAGGTTCAGAAAGATGCAGTTAGTTAGAAGTACTTTAAGTGCTTACATTGCAGTAGATAGGAGAAAGACACTACCTGCACTATAAGCACTTTAGCACTGCTGAAACTCAGTAACTTCACAAACTGGAAATATACATGTTTTTTTTTTATATCAGCACCACATTTGTATTATTCAAACCAATTGTGTTTGATGTGACACCCCCAAAACCAAAAATCTAAACCGGTGGAGAGCAAGCAGGCCACCATCAGTTTTGCATAGATTTGCACAACTCATCTATTCTTGTAGTGCAACTATGCAAAACTAGCAGAGAACTGCAAGATATTAAAGCCCAATTGGAAATTGAAAAAAATGGTCTGGTGGCGCATATCACAGCCCCTTATGCCAGAAGGAGCACTTAGGGCAGTAGGTGCTAGTCTATTTCACTATCTGCACTAGATGCACCTTAGCACAAAGACAGTACTTCACATGACACATAACATCAAAGGGCTCTGCACATCAGTGTCAGGGTATTGCTGTAAGTGCCTCCATTGCAGTAGGTATGACATAGAACTACCTGCACTGTAAGCACTTTGACAATACACAGACTGATTACAGCAACATGGGAAAGATTGTCACACTGGTCCAGGTTGGAATTCGGGTTGGCCTCAGGATATCATGGTGGATCTGGAAGAGAGAAAAAAAATACACCTTAAGAGAACAATTCGACTTTTTGGGAATTGCAACAAGTTACATCCTTAGGTTGATGTGTGAGCACATGTAACCCATTTCTTTCATTAAATCCACCAAAAAAAACGTGGTATTCAAATCGTCTCCGTCAATAAAGTGCATCACTATTCCTGATTAGTCGAGGATTACACGAATTAGTTGTTGTGATAGGAGATGTTGTGATTTATCGTAGCAGCACGAGGTCACTGAAAACATGAATGAGCAGCAGCACAGCCTGCGGCCCGCGTTCCCTGCGACACTGAGGCGCATGCGCAGGGAGACTGTTGATCACCCCTCCCCCACCGCCTTTAACATGGCGCCTCCAAGTGCGCCAACCTTAGCATAAATGAGTTATAACAAATCGAGCTAACGTTGTATTGAACACTTAAAAATGTGTAGTTGCGTGTTGTTTATTTGGTGCCAACACCGGGGCCTGCCGTGTCGGATCCCCGAGAAAAACACGGCTACTGTCCGCAGCAAACAGCAGCCGTGGTCGGGCAGGTAGCTTAGCTGCTGCGAGCTAACGAATTAGCCTGGTGAAAACATGGAAAACCGTGTTAACGTTGCTACAGCTGCAATAAGTACAACTTTGATGTGGCACATGAGCAGTTTAGTGTGTTAACAGTAAACTCGGTGGGTCTGTTGCAGTTGTTTCGCAAGATAATACAATTAAATAGTTTGATTACACTGATTAGCCGCTAGCCAACAACAAACGAGCACACGTCTGAAAATATACCACCTGCCCCGGTGGATTGGCTGTATTTATCTGCTCCTATCTTTATCTAAATGTGATACCAACCCTTTATACTGTTATGTATGTGTTTACCCAACAATACAACTGTGTTGAGTGTCTGCAGCTAGGCTAAGGTAGCTAAGCTAAAACGCGCGGCCTATCACTGCCCCATGTGCTGCTGCTTTGTTCTGGGGGGCACTTTAACTCACACACCACTGCATTCGAGACTGAGCAACAAATTATCCACTTTTACAAACTTTCCTTACTAATATTGGACAAACATGTTTACACAAACTCGGGTGTCGTTACGAGAAGGTCAGATTTTTCTCAACTAGTTGCTAAGGAGAAAGGCTCTGGACAGCTTTTCAAATCTCCCTCATTCCCTCAATGGTGGAGCAGAGGGGGCTGCCATGCGCCTCACGTTACACTGTTTTCATCGCCAGCATATCATTTAGGATTTAATGTTTGCATTTCCCCTCCAGTAGTACGATATTAAGACACATTAAAACAGGCATAAAACACCTCGTTTAGAGATTTCGTGCAGCAAACCAGAGATAATAAACAACCCCAAACCCGACTTCCTTGCCTGATAAACATGCGCTCGGCAGACACTCACCAGCCGAAATCCACCATCTTCGCTCACTTGCTTGGGCTGCCGTGTAGTCTCTTACCGACAAAAGAGAGGAATAAATACGAAACTGTTCCGGAAAGTTTTCTACCGGCGCACAACAAAGGAACATAAAGAGAAATCCGAGCCGATCGGGAGTCAATTTGTAGCCCGGTAAGGATGGTTAAAAATGATTGCGGGGATAGGAAAGTGGCGCGAAGGCGACCAGTTGGTAACCATGTGGGTGAATGAAGGGCGGCTCCCTCTGAACGTAAATATCTAGCTACAACCCCCAACTCTACACATTAGCATACATAAACTACGGTACTTCCGACACAGATCTCCACCTCTCCTGAGGAAGGAGAGGGAAATCACTGAGGGTTTCCAACGTACTTTTATATAAAATTACATATATATATATATATATATATATGAATTCGTCATAACGGCACACAGACTGCTTAATCATACATTTTAATGTCCATTAAAGTTGTTCCTTATATTACAAATGTATCATTAAAAAAAATGTATCTATAAAAAGTGCTGAGTTGTGAACTTAATGTATTTATATGATAGGTGTTATTCTTAAGGTTCATTGCCTCTTTGTTTACTTAAAAAGTAAAATGACTAATTAACCTGTTGCTGCTGCACCACGCGTTACATGTAGCCTACAGTTCTCATATTATGTGTTGACCTGGAGCTCATCATATAAACATGATTTGCATTTTATTTTTTTTAAGAGCGAAAAATAAAAGTAATGTTTCCTTTTTATTTTAATTCTAAAATTCAGAATGTTACATTCGTTTTTGAAAAACTGTTATCCAAACTTAATTTAAGGACACTATTACACAACAATTAGTCAGTTGTACCGTTTTTGTTTGCTTTATAACACTTTAAGTATTACTAAACATTTCCATAATAAAACAAATCTTTAAAAAAAACATTAAGCACCCATAAACTGTTTAAAACAGAAAAACAGGGATCATTGTCATGTTGTTTTGTTAGTCTTACCTAAATGTGCAAAGGAATATAAATCTGTTGTGTCAATAGAAAAGGGCTGACAGTGATGTCAGAGTACAGTTGCTTCTCTTTTGGAAGTTGTTCTTATTTTAATTAAAAAATAATATTGGTTGAGAAAACAATGAAGATGTTAGTAATCTGTGTTGGGGCAAGGTTCAAATTGCTTTATTTATTTTCAACAGAAAACCCCCAAAATATAATACAGTTTTAATGAATCAAGCAAATAATTTAAAGCAACATTTGAAACTGAAATAATAATTGGAGAAAAGGTATGAAAAATAAAAATGAAACGGAAAATATTTTTCAATGTATTTAAACATTTCTTTTAATAAAGGAGTAAGTACTATGTTTTGTTTTTTTCAAGTGTTTTTTCAAATGTTTCCCAAATGTTTTCACATTTTGTTTTTAAAGTGGTT